GCCGGATAAGTGCTTACGGATCTGAGTTGCACTGGAACAGCAGTCAACTCAACAGCAGTCTAACAAATAGTGTGTGGTGTGTGAGTAATAGACAGTATTGAGAAGATCAAAGCAAATCTTCGCACAGGAAGATTGCTTGAAAAAGTTGAACAAGAGTGTTGATTTCGTATCAACAACCAGCAGCAGAGGACAGCGTAGCGGGTCCAGCCATAGAGGACTTCGCGTCGCTGCCAACAGCATCAGCAGAGGATCACGTACCGAGTCCAACAGCAGAGGTCAACGTACAACATCCAACGAAAGAAGATCGCATCCGACGGCGACGCAGCGCACAGAATTCAGCCAGGAACTATCAGAATCTCAGGAGTAGCAGCATCATTTGCATCAGGCAGTGCCAACATTCTTCTGTTTCTGTCACGTAAGCTTGAATTCCTGACTTTATTTGAGTTAATAGCGTGAAAATGGAGCAAGAGTTAAATTGACAACCGAACGCGGACAAGTTAAATCGGTTCTGACTCGATTCAGTCGTTATTTTGCGGAATCCGCGGCAACAGTCTCAGTTAGGGCATTACAGAAACGGTTAGAAGCTAACGTAGATTTATACAATAGATACAGTTCAGTACAGAATCGAATCGAGCGTATTGTTGAGGGCACTGACTCGGAAGCATCTCATGCAGCCGATAGGGATGCATTCGAAGAAACGTACTTTAATTTAATTGCAGAAGTAGAGATTTTTATAGAACGCACATAGGGAAATAGCACAGTCACTAATCAAACCGCAGGACAAACGAATTCGCCCACTCTTTCTAACTCACTGGCCACCGTAAAGCTACCAACCATCCAGCTACCATCATTTGATGGAAGCTACAGTGATTGTATTAGATTTAGGGACACTTTCACGAGTCTAGTCCATGAAAGTGAATTATCCGATGTTCAAAAATTCCACTATCTGAATTCCGCGTTAAAAGGTCCAGCCGCGCGGGTAGTCCAATCTTTGGGGGTTTCTGAGGCAAACTTAGCATGGGAGGCATTAAAATCAAGATACGAGAATTCAGCGGCTATCAGAAAGCACCATGTATCAGCTTTGCTAGATATGCAGAAACAATCTTCATCCGCACTTAGAAATTTAGTTGACGATGCAAGAAATCACTTAGCAGCCTTAAAGTCGTTGGATCAGCCGGTAGAGTTATGGGATACGCTAATACACTGCTCAAAAGAAATATGGCATAGAAAAATTTTAGGCAAAAATTGGCCAAATTCAACTGATGATAACTCCGTGAAAAATCATCGCAAAGTTATGCTCTTTTTTTTAAATTAAAGCTTGAGATCTCTACTTTAAGACCCTGTAGTTTGATTTTAGATTTGATGCATCCCTACCACAATAACACCGTAAATGTGAGGTCATGTTTGCAATATTGAAAATTACAAAGTTTGACGAAATGCATGGACTTGCCACATTTTTTTGGGGCGATACTGTTTACAGCAGCATAAAGTACAAACCTTTATCTTTAATTTCCAGTATGTGAAAAACCGCTACCATTTTTTTCTGCAAAGATACAGAACTTTAAAGAAACCCTTGCATTTATGGCATATA